GGGTCAGGAGAGGTCTGCTGTTCCCTGTGGATCTCCTCCGGGGCAGGCGGGGATCGAACTCATGCTGAAGTGGCTTTAGCTTCTTAGTGCTGTGCGTTAACCCGCTGCGCCACCAGGGAGGGCCTAAATAAATAAGTCTTAAAAAAAAAAAAAGAAAGAAAAGAAAGAAGATAACTTGCTCCCTTGGTTGGTTAAGGACACCCTTGCATATGAAACGGCTCCGAGGACATCTCGATGCTGGCCATGGGTCCGAATGAAATAGGAGAAAGCCTTTTGTAGGCCTGGGATGTCACCAACCTGGAGGCACTGGTTTTGTTGGGATTATTTCCCGAGGTCTCTTGCAGTTTCTGATTCACCCCTTTGCAGGTGGGTTAGACATGTTAGTGAGGATGCTTAGGAGGAATGGAGACGCTCATATACCAAGCAACCTGGACAGTGGGCCGCAGGAGAGAGGAGCTGGCCAGGGCCTGTGTCCTGCCTGTGCCGGGTAGGCAAACCTCGGATCCCCTTCCCAGCCCACCTCTCTTGACAAAAGCCCTTGGCCTCTGCCCCCCAGGATGTCATTTCTGGATTTCCTGAGACAGTTCTCTCGCCTGGAGATCTGCAACCTGTCCCCCGACTCTCTGAGCAGCGAGAAGGCACACAAGTGGAACCTGGTCCTGTTCAACGGCCGCTGGGCACGAGGCTCCTCCACAGGGGGCTGCCAGAACTACCCAGGTGAGGCACAGGGCGGCCCCACCGCTTCTGGCTTGTCAGCAGAGCTGGCTGTCTTATCACGCGCCTCTCCGGCAATGCCTTGGAATCTGCTCCCTGGCTCCCACGGGCTTGGGCACCAGTAGGGGCGGCGGGGGCTGTCTCGTCTAGGTCACCCCATTCTTCAGCTTCTGTGTGTTCTAACTGATGTGGCTTCACCCCCTGGACCCGCCCCCCAGGATATGTTTCTTTGTACTAACCATGTTCTTGGCAACTCGCCCCCAGGCGTCTTGGTGTTTTCTTGGGTTTCGGCCCTCCCCACCCCACCCCATGCCGCGGGCTGATAACCACCCACTGAACTCAGAGGCAGGTGGCTTGTGGTGTGCTGCAGGGGCACAGGTCTGTCCCCGCAGTGATGGCTTTGCTTTGTGTTTGCGCGGAGTTGGAGGTGGAGGGGTCTGAGCGTGCAGGTGCCTGATGGTCATGTCTTGCTCCCGTGGGAATCAACAGGTAGTCTGGTGCGAGCTACCGCCTCTGCACTAACCCCTCATCTTACTAAAGGTGGGGCACCTTCCTGGCTCTCTGCAGCTCCCTAATGTGTACGTATGTAGGCTCCTCCTAGGTGGAGTCAGCTGAGAAAACACCAGAGGAAGAAACTCCAAAGGCAAAAAAAAAAAAAATGACCTCGCATCTCTAAGGAGAAATGAAAGAAGCAAAACCTGTTCTTTCCATCCCCACCTCCCCAGGCCTCGAAGTACCTCTGGTCACAGGTTGATGGATTTAGCTGTAGACTGGAAGCCCGAGGGCAGGGCTTCCTGCTCAGGTGAGCCCTGGCCGGCCTTGCGCTGAAATCCCACCTGCATGCAGGGCTAGGTCTGACCAGCTGCGCCCCCTTCACTTCCATCCAGCACAGAGCACCCATTTCTGGCCACAGAGAGAGTCCTGAGAGGCCCTGGAAGGGTCCTTCTCATTCCTATTCAGTTTCTTAATTCTCAAAGTGGAGAGATAATACCCACCTCTGGAAGGGCTTTGTAAACTGTAATGTTGTGCAAATGGATGTATTATTTTTATGACCCATTCTCTTCCTCCAGTTCTGTTAAAGAGTAAACAGAAAAATGTAGGGATTGCAGTAATGTTGCATTTGGGAGACATTAAAATATGCTCACCATTAGCAAGCTCTTAGAAAATGAGTAGGAAATTTGCATGCATCATTTTGGGAGCTCAGAACTGTAGGGGGTGCCTAAGGTATTTGTGTGCCGAAATCACCACCCCATCTGTGCCGCCAGCTAGCTGTCTCGAAGAGCTGGGTCGATCTCCTTTGGTAACGATACAGGAAGAGGCGTTACAGAAGTTTCTGTCTCCTCTGGAATCGACAGACGTCTGGCTTTCAAATCCACACACTTGTGCCCCGAATGAAAGAATCGGGAAATAAAGATTCTGGGAAGGCAGAATTGGATATGTAATCTTTTTTTTTTTTATTTTTTTTAAGATTTATTTATTTGTGCATACAGAACTGGGGTACAGGCCAGAGGCTCAGGGGCGGTGAGAGGCTTCACCAGAGACAGAGTGGGGAACAGAACAGGCTGACTGACGAAGTACACTGCTGAGGGGAGCAGCGGGCGGGTCAGGAGAGGTCTGCCACGCCATGTGGTCACCTCCGGGGCAGGCGGGAATCGAACTCATGCGGAAGCGGCTTTAGATTCTCAGTGCAGTGCTTTAACCCGCTGCGCCACCAGGAAGGGCCAGGATATGTAATCTTATTGTCAAGAAAATGCAGTCATCAGTGTCTGGTGGTCACATGCGAATGCCTTGTTATGTCATCAAGGTGGATCTTCACTAGAGCTTGTAGGAACTGCCCTCCCCCAGCACCTTCCTCTCCCCAGGGGAGCATCATTATTGAAACTGTAAAGGCCTGGTCTGGAGATGCCTGTGGCCCAGCTTCCTCATTTAGCCTCCACTGCTGTGCACCTCGGAGGACGTATTTAACCTCTCTGTGCCTTGCTTATCTAGGCACTTTTTGCCTTGCTTATCTAGGCACTTTTGTGAGAGCTCATTTAAAAAGTTATCTTTGAAATGAAAGTCTTTTAAGTATCCATAGGTGGTGTGGCAGGCCTATGTCTTAATTGCCAATTATTCTTCTTCCTGCATTATTAAATGTGTTATTCTTGCAAGACTGTGTCTCATCAGCGTAGGCAACACCGAGGCCATCCATGAGGCCCCTGGACTGATGGTCCGAGGTCTCGGGTTGGATCTGGACTGGGCCTCTCTCAGGGAGAACAGCAGTGGGTCTTTCCAGGGGCCGAGAATCCTCCTTAACCTTCTTGCCTGTGGCCGAGGCCTCTAGGCAGTCTACCACCTCTGAACTTTGTCCTCATCTGGCCAGGGACAGGCTTGTCTACTCAGACACCTGCCTTTCTCTGGGGTGGGTCTGTGTTCACAGTCCAGGCGCTGAGAGCAAGGTGCTAGCCATCTCCCAGGAGCCAGTGCGCCCTTCAGTGTTGCCTTAGGGCCCAGGCCAGCTTGTCTGGGTGATCAGACAGATGAGCAGAGCCCCCTCTGGGGACGTGTCTGCGGGTGTGGGGAGGGAGGCTCACTTGCTGAGCCTCTTCCCAGACAGTTTGCCCAGACTTAAGCTTTCACTGGGATGACTAAGGCTCTTCCCTTTCATTTTATTCTCTCCCATTTCCTCACCCTCTATGGTCGGGGGAACCACCATCTTCTGGGTGACTTCCAGCCACTTACTGGACCAATCCCCAGTTCAAAATCCGCTTGGATGAGGTGCATGACAATGAGGAGGCCGGTAGTGTGCTCTGCTGTACTGTGCTGTTGGGTCTGATGCAGAAGAATTGCTGGCGACAGAAGAGGCTTGGTCAAGGCCTGCTGAGCGTTGGCTATGCCGTGTACCAGGTACCCCCCCGCCGCGGGGCCTTCGCCACACCCTGAGAATGTTTGGCCAGTGATGGGGACGCAACTTGCCTATTATTTGAATATTCCTAATCAAGCATTCTTTTTTTTTTTTTTTAAAGATTTATTTATTTGTGCACACAGAACTGGGGTATAGGGCAGAGGTGCGGGGGCTGTGAGAGGATTCACCAGACACAGAGTGGGGAGCAGAAGAAGCAGTTTGACCACGTACACTGTTGAGGGGAGCAGCGGCCAGGTCAGGAGAGGTCTGCCACGCCATGTGTTCACCTCTGGGGCTGGGGATAGAACTCACACTGAAGCAGCTGATGCTAGCTTGCAGTGCTGTGCCTTAACCTGTAGCATCACAAGGGAGGGCCCCAAGCACTCTTTTTTTCCCCTGAAATGTTTCTCCCTTCCTGAGGTTGGAATTCCACACTGAAAGGTCTATCCCTCTGGCTTAATCCCTGCCATTAACATTGAGACCTGTCGCTCATGAAACTGCCTGTCCCAGAGGGCTCAGCGAAAACATGCTTATTGCACTTGGGCAGGGGACAAGAACATGGGGGAGCATAGGCAATTGAGGTGACCCCAGGAATATGAGGGGTATTATAGAGTGGGGGGAGGAAGGCTAGATATGGGATCCATATACCGATACACTCTCCCTCTCTGGGTACCTTGAGGTCCTTGTTGGAACACACAGGGTTTGGGCTGGGACAAGGTGCTGGCTCTGTTTAGTTCTAGGGTTTCTGGACTGGGGTACCCAAGTGACACTGGTCTCAGGTGGCAGTGCCTGGCTCTACATACCAGTTTATGCTGGTAGCCAACCTGCTGTGGGCTTCACAGCCTCACAGATATGTCAAGGCAAGACCTTCCAGCTTTGACAGGCCTCACCAGGAACACACTGGAATCCACATTTTTACATGGGAAAAGATGCTTATAACAAATTCTGGAGGGACTTGTGGTGGATGTTTTTGTATAGTTTTGTTAAAAATGAATTTCCTGGGAAAAATACAACTCTAATCAGGAAGACCAAGAGCTGGCTGGAGGCTCCATACTCGTATAAATTACCACATGACAAGGAAGCACTATAATAAAACACCAGTAAGGAAAATTGGCTAGCTTGGCATTTGCTACCTCCACCCTTTCTTCTGCCTATTCTGGAACTTGGGACGTTGTTAGAGTATTTTTTTGTTGGACAAGTGGAAGTTGGAAAAATGCTGCTTAACAGCAGGACAAAAGAATTTCAAATAAATCAGCCTCGTACCCTTCCATCTTTACTTAGAATATAAATAGCAACAAGCCAGGTTCTTCGCTTATTGGGGTAAGAACCAGCAGAGGCACCAACTATATGCATATGAGTTCAACACACTGTCGTGAGCAGTTTCCGTAGGCCAAGGCCTGTGCTGAAAACAGAGACACAGAGGCCTGGCACATGCTGACTGCCCTAGGGTACTCAGGAACAGGCCAGAGGCGGGAACATCGGACACACCGTCAAGTAATGGCGGGAGAGTAGGGCAGGTCTGCCAGGGTAGGGATGCCATGATGGGGCAAGGGCTCCTTGGGGAGGAGCAGCTGCCCGGAGGAGACTTGATCAGGGCTTCAAGGGACAAGCTGGATTTCAAAGGTGGAAAAGAGAGAACATGCCAGCCAGCAGAGGTAGGCGTGGCTGAGGGGTGGGCTCCCCAGGGAGGGGATCCCAGTTCTGATCTTGACCCTGCCATATAAAACCAGATCAGCAAAGCATTCTTGCAGAGGGACATGAGCTAACGCACCGAAATAGCTTGGCTAGCTTGGCATTTGCTCTCATAAGTAATATAAAAAGCTTGTCAATTTTTCAGACATCAAATTATAGTTGCTTATGAAATACCCCCATGTATGTGATTTACAAATCTCCTTCTTATAGCCAGAGGCATATCATTTAGTCTGTGACATCTGTGAACACAAGCAGTTTTAAAGTTAGGTTATGGGAGGTGGGGGCAGTGAGGGGTTGCTGGGAGTTCCTGGGGGTGTAGAGAAGGGGTGTAGGAGTTGTTGGGGGGGGTATAGAGATTGTGGGGGAGTTTGCAGGAGGACCTAGGGTTGTAGGGAGAGTATAGGGAGTTCCTGGAGTGGTAGGGAGGGATATAGGGATCATAGGAAAGGGGTGTATATATTATTTATAGGGTGTATTTGGGATTATACATGGAGCTCAAGGGTTGAAGTGGGGGGGGGCTCCTGGGGTCAGCGGAGGTTCTTGGGTAGTAATGAGGTATTGGGGTTACTGAGGTATTGGGAGTATAGGGGTACTGTTCTCTGACCCCTGTCTCTGCCTTCTCTGACTTTAACTGCAAACTGGAGTCTCGTTTGAGGTTGAAAGTCTGACACTGGTTGAGAAGGGCCCCTGGAGCTGGAGAGGCCGGCTTGCCTGCCTCTCACTCAGCTTTACCTTCCCACACTGACAGCAGGCTCCTGCCTCTGCACTCGGGATCCGCCTTCAAGGGCGGCTGTGCCTTCACCCACCGGTGGGCGCTGGCCCGCTGCCCTGGCTGCTGCTCCGGGTTTGTGCCACCCAGAGCCTGCCTGGCAGACTCAGGCCCTGCTCTGACCCTTGGCGGGTGGGTCAGGGCTCAGGGCAGTGGGCGTGTGGCCGTGGGCGGCCAGGGCGGTTAGACCTGGCTGGGTGAAGGCTTTCGGGGGGACGTGCAGACGCCATGCGGACCTCTGCTCTCCCCGATAGCCAGCCTCTGCGTGGGCGACTCTGGGATTAAACTCAACGATGACCTGGGGCTTTTTCTACCTCTTGCTGCCAGCTCCCGGTGGGGGCGCCTGAGGAGTGGGCTGCCAAGTTTTCTCATTGTTTTCCCCACAGACCTAAGCCACCACCAATGTCCTTTCTGCTCTTCTGAAAAAGAGACTGTGTGGCAGGGACAAACGGGCATGGCCCCTCTGCCCTGATGGCACGGGAGATTCCCACTCCGGCTCTGAGAGTGGTTTCTTGTGAGAGGCAGCATTTCTAGTTACAAACAGACCCTGGGCCAGTGAAGAAGGAATTTAGCAGTTCATGTCACCAAAGGCAGGGAAGGCTTGGGGGGCTGGGACATGCGACCTGCGTGTTCTCAGGACCCTTTGCCCCGAAGCTCCCTGGTGCCAGTGCCGCCCTAGATCAGGCTTCGTTAGTCTCCCTAACATCACGGCCGGAAAGAAGAGGCTGCTTTCCCTTAGTTCCACTCTGAAATTCCGGTGAAGTCTGTAATGGCCTCAGCTAGGCTCGTGTGCCCGGTCTTGGACCCATCAGCATCGCCAAGGTCAGCACCAGCGATGGCCGGCCTGCAGGTTGGGCCTGAAGCTCTGTAAGGGATTAGCGCTCGGGAAACCCCAAGGTTACGCCCCTGAAGAACTAAGGCTCTTGGTATAGATTGTGGCATAGATTACCAGAATAAAACTAAGAGACAATGGAGCCTTTTTTCCCTTGCAGGTTTCTAGAGCACAGTAGGCTACAGATGGCTTTGAAATTCATCAGTGACTTAGAGTTGGGAAGTGCTGATTAGTCTCTCACTTCAGCATGAGCTTCCTCCCCAGGGATTCGCACCTAGGAATGGTTTGGGGCTGCACAGCCCTCAGCAGGGTCGGGGGAGGCAGAGCGTGAAGGGAGAAGAACCTCAGGTTCCTGGGGACCTGCTCTTTTCTCCTGCCCTGTAGGTCCCCAGAGAGGTTCGCAGACATGTCCTCCCGTTGGTAAGAAAGAGCACAGCCGCTGTCACGGCACCACATGCTCCCTCTGGCACAAGCGGGCTCCTGCTCAGAGCTGGTAACCCCGAGACTGGTAAGGACGATCCTGAGTCCCATCTGCTGGGACCCTGTGGCAGGAGACACGCGACCTTTGCCCTGGGTGCCAGGGTGGGAGTGGGGGGCTGGATCTGAGCAGGAAGCCCATAGCACACCCCTGGGCCCCGGTTATGAGGCCAGCGGAGTCAGGACCCTGGTCTCTGAGAAGAAGAGGAAGCGCCGACTTTATCTTTTTGGCTCCTGTCTTTCCCTGCACCTCTGCAGGGATTACAAGTCCTCTCTGTCATGCTTACACCTGGGGATCCCCCCAGCTGTCCTGTCCGCTTTGGTCATGGCCGGGAAGAGCCCGGCAGCTGTCCTGGAGGTGCTGGCCTGGCTGGGGGTGAGCGCACGTCCTGTCCGGGGGGTATCGCCCTGGTTGCACGCTGGACTCACTTGGGGAGCTCTAAAAAACTCGCAATGCCCAAGCTGTATCCCAGACCAATTAGATCAGACTCTCTGGGTGATTCCAGTGGGCAGCTGAGAACCTCTTTTCTGTCTGGGGCTCCCCAGCGGGAGTTAATTGCACTCAACCTATAAAACTTGCGTCTCCTGCTGCAGCCTTCCTCTGCTGCTCTTGGTTCCTCCTGCGTGGCCGGCTGTGGGGCGTGTGCCAGTGAGCTGCAGGCTAACAGGCTGCAGCCTTGCCTGTGTTTTGGCTCACAAGAGCGCGGTTTCATTCTAGGTGAAAGAGCTCTAAGTAATTACATGCAAACCCCAGTGGTGGCTCCCATCAGAAATGTCCCCTCACATATGAGAGGTCATATGCTCATGCACGGAGACCCCACCCTGCCCCTAACACACCCCAGTGTCCTCAGGCTGTCCCGGGGGATCCTTTGCTGTGCCAGTGCAGATGGTCTTTGGGTCCACGGTTCTCAAACCATTGCTTCGGACTCTCTGGAAGGTTTAGAAAGCACAGATGCTTGGCCCGACCCACAGCTTCCGGTTCTACAGGTCCAGCTAGAGCCTAAGAATGTGTATTTCTAGCAAGGTCTCAGGGATGCTTGTGCTGGACTTGGGCCTGTACTTAGAGAGCCACTTCAGTGGAAGCTGCCCTCCCTGTCACTCCTGGCTGGGCCATGCCAAGGGGAGCATGGAGGGCTGGTAGCTCATCCTGTTTGGAGTCTGAGGTCAGAGCGCCTAGTTCTTGCCTCGAGGTCCTCTGCTCTGCCTGGGCTTCCAGGGAAGGCTTCTCCCGTCCGTCCCTCCACAGGTTCTTGTTAGAACTCAGCTTGTCCCTTTCCCAACCCAACACAAATTGAAGTTTGCATCACCATTCACCTCTCCCGAGCACTTTGTCCCTGGCTCCCTGTTTCCTCCTTTGCTGGCATCAGGGATGGCAAGAGAATGGTTGCCCCACGATAGACCTTGGCCTCGGCCTCGCTGGCCTGGTCCAGTGTTCTTTCACCCAGAGTCTAAACATTCCAAGCTCTGTGGCTGCCCTGGTGTCCAGGAGAGAGTGACCAGGGCAGAGGGCACGGGGTGCCCTGTGAGAACCTGGTCAGGACAGCGGGCAGGTGGTTCTGCTTTTGTCCCCTGCTTAACAAACCTGTGATTCAGAGAGATCCTGGCCCATCGTTGGGCACTGTCCACTCTGGGTCACACACCGGTCACAGCCTGGCTGCTTCTGCACACCTGCCCTCTGTCACAGGCACCTTGATGAAGATGGATCATGAGATATGCTGCAGTGTGGAGGCTTAATCACAGCAATGATAACGATGGCACCTGTGTTTTCAAAGCACTCTGCAGTCACTAATTAATCTGTGTCACACCCCTCAGCCTCCTCCTCCCTCCAACAAACAGACGGGTCACAGGGTGCATCCCCTCTCTGAGGTGAGCCATGGCCTTGAGGGAGGCCAGGAAGAAGCCCACACCAGGCCTGGCTGTGGCCACCCTCTCTCCGCCTCCCAGCCTGACCGACTCTGTTGCTTTAGACAGCAAGTTTTCCAGTGAGGCAAAGATGAGCAGGTTTCCCGACCGCTTTTGCTGAGGATCAGGATTTTAGCTCACTTCTCCAGCCACAAGTCTGTCCCAGGGAGCTCAATGCCACTGTCCTGGTACCAGGGACAGTCCCAAAATTAATCTGTTGCACTCAGTGGTGGGTGACTCAGAGAGACGAATATCCAGAGAGGCTGAGTGCACACAGGAGACTCTAGTGTCCAGCCCTTCATTTGCCTGGACGAGAGCAAAGAGTCAGATCAAGGTCACAGTCAAGGTGGGTGAGTCACACTGGTCCTGGCACCCAGGAGGCGTGCAAAGCATGCTTGTTGATGACACATGGGAGTCATGACAGAACCCAGACCTCTGACCCCTAAGCTAATGTTGAAAATCTACAATCCCTGGGCCCTCCCTGGTGGCACAGTGGGTTAAAGCACAGCACTAAGAAGCTAAAGCCATTTAAGCATGAGCTCGATCCCTGCCTGATCCAGAGGTGACCCACATGGTGCAGCAGACCTCTCCTGATCTGCCCGCTGCTCCCCTCAGCAGTGTTCTTCATTGATCTGCCTGTTCTGCTCCCCACTCTGTTTCTGGTGGATGCTCTCACGGCCCCTGCACCTCTGGCCTGTACCCCAGTTCTGTATGTACAAATAAATAAATAAATAAATAAATAAATCTTTAAACAAAAATCCACAATCCCAAACCAATGTGTGAGACCCCCTCAACATTGCAGCCCTCATCTCTCAGGCTTTCAGGAGAAATTGACTGTTACATTGTGTAGCTGGAGAGTCACACGGTTGTGTCCCTGGGCCGGGACTTCTTCCTGCGCCACCAGCCCCTGGCCTGCTCCAGCACCCACATCAACCTGCGGGAGGTCTCAGGCCGGCTGCGGCTGCTCCCAGGGGAGTACCTGGTGGTGCGTCCACCTTCAAGCCCTTCAAGGGCTTGAATGGCGACTTCTGCCTGAGGATGTTCTCGGAAAAGAAGGCCAAGGCCCTGTGTGTGCCCGTGGCCTCTGTGGTGGGGGAATCTAGTGCCCAGGACTGCAGGGAATTGGCTGGACCCTGACAGGTCCCTGTCACTGTGGGTGAGCCACTCCAGCTGATGCTTCCCAGAGAAAGTGGTAAAACACGACACTGGGGGCCCCAGGGTCCTGCGCTCAGTTCCCCTCCTGCCTCCTCCACTTTGGTCTGTGGGAGGGCTTCATGGAGGAGGTGAGATCGAAGCTGATTTTAGAGGAGTAAGGGTACAGGGTGTCAAAGGTGACTTCACCCACCTCATTCCTCTGCCCTCCAGGCCACCCATGATGCCAGGCCCTCTGTTCTCAGGTTTTACCCTCAATAGCCAGGTGCAGCGGACCATCACCAAGCGGTACGCCTGCAGCAAGCTCGTGTTGGACTTCAACAGCTTCATGGCCTGCGTGATCCACCTGGAGACCCTCTTTAGTGAGTCTCCTCCGTTAGGCCCACCCGTGTCTCCCAAGGTGCAGGGAGTGGCGGGGCCAGGGGCAGAGCCGGCCGGTGCCTTGGGGAGGCCCATGGATGCCTCCCTCGGAGAAGCGGAAGCGGCAGGGGCTGAAGGAAGCCCAGGCTGTCACAGCAGACGCCGCTTTCGCAGGAGGCCTCAGAATCGGACGCCCAGTGCTGCCTTCTTCCTGTCACAGCAACTGGCCCCTGGTGCGTCTAGTGTCTGGTCACATCTGTGCTCCAGGGGGCCACGTTGAGGACCTATGTCCCCTCGTAGGGGGCCAGGTAATCTCTTGCCCCGCTGGGCCTTGGAACCTACTCCAGTAGTCAATGAAGGAAGATTTCCTTCTACGAGGGGCAGCTGGTAAGCTGTAATAGAGAAGGTCAGCCTTACAGAGCAAGCGAAGGGACGGAGTTACCCACAGTGGTGCAACCTCTGTCTGTCCTGCAACTCAACCTGAATGCTGGATTCAGAGCTGACCGCTCAGGGCCCCACAATTAGGTGGGCACTTGGCGGGGCAGTTGCAGGGAAGAGGAAGGGTGCCAGGTAGGAGTGGGGGGCAGAGGCAGCTCCCTGCTGTTCTAATGTCCAGAAACACCCCTAGATAAGCTCATTCTCTCTGGCATTTTAGAAATGTTCAGGCTTCTGGTTCAGGGCCAGAATGGTGGTGTCCATCTCTCCCTGACTGAGGTATGGCTTGAATTTTGATGAACTGCTTGCTGATGGTACTTGACATTCCTGGACAGTCTAGGTACCCAATGGTGTTTATTCATATTCACCTGTCTTACTTCCGTGTGAATACGGTGCGCATTCTGTGTCAAGCGTTAGGGAGGAGAAAGTGATCGTTATGCAGTCACTCAAATAGTTTTATTTATTATTATTATCTTAAAGATAAAACTAGCTTCATGTCAAATCATACTAAAGATGCCAATCCTAATGTGAGTGGAATTGTGGGTGGTGGGTACAATTTAATGCATCTGATTTCTAAGATCAAATGTCTTAGATTGACATATAGAAGGGCAGCAGAAGCAAAAATTAGATTGCAACAAGGTAGAATGAAAATGCAAAGTAAATGTGTGTGTCCCTGTGTACAAGTTTTATGCAGAAGACGCCATGGTGCTTCCCCTGTGAGGCTGCGTGAAGCCTCACAGGGGCCTTCACTGGACTGTGGGGACACAGGTCCAGAAATGTCCCCAGGCCCCAAGCCAAGAGGGAGGCATTACCCTGAGTCTGCTTCAGAGGCAGTGAAGTTAGAGCACCAGGTTATCCGTGTCTCTCCCGAGTGGCCTGGGTACACCCCTTTCTCCTCTCAAATGGAAATGTCATCGCCCCCCTTTTAGGGATCTGGGGAAGCCATTCCTAGAGCTGTGTCTGTGGGTGCCTGCCCCCTGGGCAATAGTGTGAACCTGAATATAGACGTAGGTATCTATTTTTCCTACACACACCTGTTTTGGGATCCCCTTGGGTATGGCAGTTCCCAAGTCACCCTTCTAAGGTGTTCTGGCTTAGGAGGTAGAACCTTAGTAGTGGCCCTTGCTGGTGGCGCAACGGCTTAGGACACAGCACAGCAAGCAAGCAGCAGCCGCTTCAGCACGAGTTCAGTCCCCAGCCTGAGGTGACCCACATGGCGCGGCAAAACTCTCCTATCTCCCCGCCGCTCCCCTCAGCAGTGCACTTCTTTGATCTGCCTGTTCTGTCCCCTCTCTGTCACTGGTGAATCCTCTCACTCCTGCACCTCTGGCCTGTACCTCAGTTCTGTATGCATAAATAAATAAACATTAAAATAAAAGAAAAGGAAACTTAGTAAAAACTTAGTAAAGGGCTTCCTTGCCTCCTACTACCGAGCAAGGCAGGTACCGGAAAGGTTGGAAAGGTCGCACCCTGTGAGGCAGAAGCGTGTCTCTGGCAAAATCCCGCCTGCTCCCGGGGAAGCAGGCCTTACCTGTTCTTCTCTTGCAGTGGCTGTGCTGTGTGTTGGTCTGACCCCAGCTTTGGTCATCGTGAGGCTTCCTGCCAGCCAGGCCTCCTCTTTCCTTCTCCCCCTCCAGGAGAACATTCATCCTGGAGAAGTTGTTGGCTTCTCATCTTCTCTCCCGGAGATCCCAGACTGTCCCTCCGCAGTCTGGGGAAACTTGAATCTCTCCAGCAGCATTTAAGCTGATAGTGGGGGGACAGAATCACTAACAGTTGTGGCCCAAATGGTTTCTGCCTTTCCCTAGTGATATGCAATCTGGGGCAGGCCCTGCCTGGGCCTCTCACGTTTTAGGAAAAGATGATCTTGGCAGGTGACGTGGCACAAAGTTGCTTGGGTGAGTTTTGGAGAAACAGCTCACTACAGATGGGGCTGCCTCTGGGGCTGCCTGCAGGGAAGCCGGCTGGCTGGGCCCCCAAGAAGGCTCTGGGGATGGGCAGCTGGGCCTGTCAACTTTTCTCACTTGCGTCTGGGAGAGGTTGTGAAAAGAAGCTGCTGCTTGGAGTCTAAGGGTAATTCTTACTGAGGGCCGTTCTTACTGGATAAAAAACTAGAGGGAAAATGCAATTCAGGCGAGTTTGATTCACTGCTGAGCACCTGGGCCATTGCTGAGGTCAGAAGACATATGCCACAGCCCAGGGTCATCATGGCTAAGTGGGGACGGATTGGTTCACAAGCAGACTTTGGAGTGTAGGCCTTAGGGTTAGTCCTCTAGGCTGCCATAACAAAGCACCACAGATGGGTGGTTTATAAATGGCAGAAATTTACTTCCCACAATTCTGGAAGTTGGAAGGCCAAGATCAGGGTGTTAGTATTGTTGGGTTCAGGCAAAACCAGTCCGCCTCCAGGTCACAGTGTGTTGATTTCTTCTTGTAGCCTCACAAAGCAGAGTGAAGAGGGAAGGCAGATCCTCCCATGTCTTGTAAAGGACATGAATCCCCTTAATGAAGGCCCCACCCTGGGGCCTCACCTTATCTACCCCTGCCCCCAGACCCCACTTCTTAACTCCATCATAGAAGGTGAGGGGACGGTCCTGATATATGAATTTGGTGGGGCCACCATAATGGTGAACTACTACAGGGAGAAACACAGGTGCAGGCCTTGGCCACGGTGTTAGTGTGATGAAAGTTGAACTTTTTGCTTCTGGAAGTAGAGTTACATGAACCCTCCGCTGGGTGCACATTCATCAATATGGAAAATGTCTCGACTGCTTGAATGCTGCCTTCAGTTCTCCCAAGGCCCAGTGGGGAATAAGGACAGGCCCTTGACTGAGGGGAAGTAGGCGCTCTGGAGCTTCACCCCTTAGAGACGGCTCTGGGGTTGCGTCAGTGCAGGGAGTTCAGCTCATGCGATGGCGGCAAGGGAGAGCTGTTCACTCTGGCAGCCTGTGGGTTCCAGACAAGAGTGGTTCTTTGCTAATTAGGCGTCTGAGGGAACTTCCGTCCTCAGAGCTTCCACTGGCAGAACTTAGCAGGTGTGTTTTCAGCAGCCCCAGCGGCTCCTGCTGCCCCTCACTGACTAGGTCCTCTCCCCCCCACACTTTTTATTTTAGGAATGAAACAGTCTTTGCTATCAATCTAAAATACCGTAGGCCCTCAGCTCAGGAAGATTCAACCTAATTTAATTCCTCTTTATCTACTTTTTTTTTAAAAGATGTATTTATTTATTCATACAGAACTGGGGTACAGGCGAGAGGTACAGGGGCTGTGAGAGGCTTCACCAGAGACAGAGTGGGGGGCAGAACAGGCAGATCGATGAAGTACACTGCTGAGGGGAGCAGCGGGTGGGTCAGGAGAGGTCTGCCGCGCCATGTGGTCACCTCCAGGGCGGGGATTGAACTTGCACTGAAGTGGCTGCCGCCAGCTTGCAGTGCTGAGTCCTAACCTGTTGCGCCAGGGAGGCCCACCTCTTTATCTACTTTTTGACCTTTACAACTTGGTGCTCTCATTTGATCAAATCACTGCTCTTGAAAACTTGAACTGCCTTCTCGTTGCCTCGGCCCCCCCCCCCCCGCCCTCCCTGTTGTGATGAGAGATCGGACATGCAGCACTGTGTCCGTGTAAGACGTATAATGACTGTCATATAGTATGACATGATCAGGACACTAAGTCTAGTTAACATTCTCATACAGATACGAAAAAGAGAAACATGTTCTTTCCCCTCATGTGACAACACCCCAGGCCTTGCCCACCTTATAGCGGCAGCTGGCACCCCCCTCTGCTGACCCCAAATCTGATCTTTTTCTAGGATATTTTCCTCTTTAGCTTCCACTCTAAGAGAGCTCATGCAGCGTCTGTCTTTCCCTGCTGGTGTGTTTCACCCGTGTCTGCCCTGAGCCCCACCCACCTCAGGCGAGCGGCCAGCGGGCCTCCTTTCGTGGGGGGCTCGTGCTTCACTGTGTCTGCACAAACCACCTCTTCATTTGCTGGTCCACACTTGGAGTACCTCCTCGTCTTGGCTATTGCAAATAATGCTGTGATAAATATGGGGGTGCAGATATCTCGTGAGGAGATTATTTTATTCCTACAGGTAAGTGCCCAGAAATGGCAATTGCTGGATCATAGGGTAGTTCTATTTAAATTTTTTTAGTGTAGATTTAAAAAAGTTTTCGCATTAAAATATTTTTTTATATATAATAGTTTATTTTTACATCATTTTGTACATTTTTTTTCATCTCAATTGTAATCTCCATTTTAAATTTTTTGAGGTAACTTCGTTCTGCTTTCATTGTGATTGCAACAGTTGACACTCCTGCCAAAAGCACCCAAAGGCTCCCTTTTCCCACATCCTCAACAATAATGTCACCTGTTGTCTTTCTGATGACGGTTCTAGTACGTGTGAGGTCGTATCTCATTGTGGTTTTGGTATGATGCTATTGAGCATCTTTTCATGTGTTTGTTGGCCATTCATAGATCTTCTTTGAAAAAAAGTCTATTCCAGCCCTTTGACCTTTTAAAAATTAAATTATTTGTTTAGCTGTTGAGCTGTATGAGTTCCTTATCTATTTTAGGTATTAATCCCTTGTCAGACATGGGATTTGCAATTCTCTTTTCCCATTTCCAGGGACTGCCTTTTAATTTTGTTGATCTCAAAAAAGAAAGTTCTTTAACTCAATCCTTTGTTTTTCAAATATGGCGTGGCTGCCTGTATTTAAATTATATTCAAACCAACTTGCAACCGTAGTTTTATTTTTAAGGCCTATAGTTTTCAACTACTTTAGGGGGTAGTCTGGTTATCAAAAATATATAGTAGCATCAGAAAATGGCATTTTCTTTAGAGAGCTCAAGTCCCGGGTAAGGGTTGGGTTGTCCTGGGATTGCAGTCCAGCCTGTGAAGCAGCTCACCCAGAACAATGGGTAGGCTCTCAGCAGGCAGAACTACATACTGCCCTGGGAGATGCTGGGAGGGCCGCAAAGATGATTATGCCAGCCCCTGTCTCCAAGAAGCTTGCAGTTTAAAAGGGGAGACAGACAGTCACAGGTAACAACCATCTGGGCCGAAAGAGGGACAGAGGTGTCAGGAGAAGAGAGAAGTTAACGCTATTCGGGAAAATGATCAGGCTTCATGCGGGATGGATACGAGGAGTGGGGACTTCATTCATTCATTTATTCAGTAAATGTTCATTAAGCATCAGCTGTGTCCTAGGTACTGTGCACACCCTGCAGATGAGAGGGAAAGGCATTGCAGAGGGAAGGACCAGCAGGGGACGAGGCTACCTGGAGACAGCGGGCTATTGCTGGACTCGGGCTGTGCCTTGGCTCTGAGGACTTCGCTGCAGCCTGCAGGACCCCGGGCCCGATTTGGCCTCTTGCTTCTTCCCACCGTCTGTGTCGTGGTCCTGCCAGGCTACTTTCCCTTTCTAGATCAGTGAGAAATAATTTCAGGCTGCTTCCCTGATAAGACAATATCCGCGGCCTTCCGAGGTTCAGGTTGCTTGGTAACTAACACCTGCTCCCTCCATTCCCTGGGCTGCAAGGATCCTCCAGAGCTCTTGGGGCAGATGAGAGACATCTTCTGTGGCTGCCGCCTCTCACTTGGCCAAAGCACCTTGACATGTGGCCAGTGAAGCCCTGCTGACCACCCTGGGTCAAGCCCCAGAACCACAGAGCTCCCAGAGAGGGGCTTTTATGGAGCGAGGTCCTGGAGAAGCCCATGAATGTGGCCTCAGAGCTGCAGTGCAGATGCAGGCTGATAAAGCTCAGTGGGCCTCCCACTTCCACCTGCATTTTTGAAACATTTACTACTAATTAATTTCTGAATTACACAACAATGCACTTCCTAATTACACAGGGGAAGCACTAGCGGCTATAAAGGGTCGTTATCTATTGCACAAGTGACTCTAATAGACACTCTCCCAGAAATGAGAGATGGAGAGAGGGGGCCGGGGGAGGGGAGCGGGAGGAGGGGGAGAGAGACGGATAGATGGAGAGTGAGAAGCAAGCCTAGTCTGGAAAGCTGCCTGTCATCTGCAGGAGCTCGGGACTCTGCAGCCCCCAGTGACCTTCCAGGCATGAGTCTCTGTGCTCAGAAGGAGTGACTTCTCAGGAGCCCTGCCAGCTGGGTAAACACCAACATGGAAATGTAAATAATCACATGCAGATGCGATGCAAACATAATTATAGCCCAGTATCCTGAAGAGAGGGACTCACTGCGGGCTGGACACATTTTCACGTCTGAAAGTCCCATTTTGCATCGTGATTCCAGCAGACTCCAGTCTCTCGCTTTTCCTCCTTTGTTTGGTTTCTACTGCCACATGGATTTTCCTTTTTTATACCAGGTGGAATAGCACACTAAAATGAGTGGCTTTCATATCACGTTGGACTAGCTGGGTTATCAAATATTTATGAGGTTGGTCAAACATGAATGAGCACCTACTATGTGTAACGTAGGTTACTCATGCTGAGCAGAGGTGGGGCTGCGGACTGGACTCCTCGCCTTTGGGTGAGTCACTGCAGTCTGGGGAGAGAGATGGGCGTACAAGTAAGGATCTTCATGATGGGAGGCCCATGGG